TACAGCAGCGTTAAACAAGATGCATAAAAAAGGTGTTGGTACAGCGTACCGACAGAGCCAAGCTTTAAATAACATTTTAAAGGGTCGAGTCTCCCACACTTAACGATTTGGAGGGGTTGAGACACTCCCTTTTCCCGCCATAAAATATGTAAAGGCGTTGAGACACTACACCCCCTCCCCCCTCCCCGCATATACAATACAGTAGAACCTCGCTTAACGAATAATTCGCATAACGAGCAAAACAAATTGTAAAAAAATGACTTGCTTAACGAGAGACGTTTCGCATAACTAGTGGCGAGGAGAAGGGAAGTCCCGGATTGTGCGCCTGTTACATCAGTCTGTGTTTAGCACTCGTTCCAGTAGCATCGTAGTGTCGCTTGTGATCACACATTTTCTCAAACTTGTGTTATATTGCGATAAATGTACATGAATCCTCCAGGCCTACAAGATAACCTCTCTGAAGAAGTTCATCAAGATCCAGTTTCTGTCTCCCAACACCACTTCCTTACTCCAGCCCATGGACCAGCAAGTTATTTCTAACGTTAAGAAACTCTGCACTAAAGCATTGTTTTCAGGTGACTGAAGGGACCAACCTCACTCTCAAAGAGTTTTGGAAAAATCAGTTCCACATCGTTGCCTGCCTCAAGATCATCGACAGGGCGGGGAAAGGGGTTACCAAGAGAACCCTAATTTCTGCTTGGAAGAAGCTTTGGCCGGAGAGCTTTGTCGATTTGTTACTTTGAGGGGTTCGAGACAGTACCTGTGGAACCTGTAGTCAACGTGATTGTGTCTTTGCCCACTATCATGGGATTGTAGGTAAATAACAGTGATATCGAAGAGCTTGTGGAAGAGCACAGCCAAGAGCTGACCACACAAGAGCTAATGGAGTTGCATTGTCTTTCACAGCAAGAAGTTTTGGAGGAAAGTTTATCAGAGGAGGAGGAGGAAGAGGTAACAGAAAAGCAACAATCTTCTGGTGAAATAAAAGAAATGCTGAAAGCATGGGAAACTGTTGCATCTTACATTGAGAAGCATCACCTTAATAAGGAAGTGGCTATGCGCGTTGCAAATTTATGTTATGATAATGCTGTGTTGCATTTTGCCCAAATTTTGAAGCGTCGTCAAAAACAAATCTCTCTTGACATCTATCTAGTAAAAAAATAAAATAATTAACTATGTATCATAATTATTTCGACTTTTTTTTCTACATATCGAATTCGCATTCCATGTGGGTTCGTTTCGCGTTTGAAGAAAAGATGAAGATGATTCACTCTCCTTAACAATTTGTATGTAACTTTAAAAAAAAAATAAACGTTATACATAGCATTTTGTGAGTATTTTGTTTTCGACATGGAACGCATTATCGTAATTTACATTAATTTATATGAGAACAATTGTTTCGCATAACGAGTGTTTCCCTTAACGAGTATGATTCTGAAACGAATTATGCTCGTTAAGCGAGGTTCCGCTGTATTTCAGTGGGTGGAGACACCACCCCTCACCCCGCCCATCCAAATGTTTGATCTGTGTCGTGTCTCTAAGCCAAGGGGGACAAATCTGCCTCGATGTGAAATTGAACTCATAACGGCAGGTATGACGCACATGATAGGAAACTATGCAGTCCGGATTTGTGGACCAATTTATAAAGTAAAAAAGTCGGCGTTGGTGGCTTTCAGGATCTGAGCGTAGTTAAATAATTTTAACATACTGGGCTAGATTCAGCTGCAGATATTCTGGCAGCAGATGGCTTTGCGTTAGTTTCGACAAGGGTGTGAGGGTCAACTGTTGCAGCTGCAAACAGCTGAATTTAAAAGTGCTCAGTAAAACTACAAAAGCCGATAACAAATTGTGGATTTTCGTTTAGCAAAATGCTCTCTACCAAGTAACATGGCTCCGAAAGCAAAGAAACCCGCAGCGAAGGCTCCAGCAGCAAAGGAGGAGAAAAAGGAAGCAGCACCTGCAAAGGCCGCAGCTCCTGCTAAATCTGCAGCTCCTGCCAAATCTGCTGCACCAAAGACATCAAAGGCTGCAGCTAAGGCTGCTGCACCACCCAAAGTTGATGCTGGTGTAGTCAAGGCTAAAGAAAAGGCACTGAGGGCCAAAAAGTCTGTTGTCCGCGGAACTCATGATAAAAAAAAATCGTAAAATCAGGACGTCTGTCCATTTCCGCCGACCCAAAACATTGAAGCTGCCCAGGGCTCCTAAATATCCACGTAAAAGTGTCAACAAGACCAACAAGCTTCACCAGTACTGTCTGATCAAGTATCCATTGACCACTGAGTCGGCCATGAAGAAGATTGAAGATAACAACACACTGGTCTTCATTGTTGACAAGCGGGCCAACAAGCCAATGATTAAGATGGCAGTCAAGAAGCTGTACGATATTGAAGTCGCAAAAGTCAACACACTCATTCGCCCTGACTGCGAGAAGAAAGCCTATGTAAGGATAGCTCCTGATTATGATGCATTGGACATTGCAAACAAGATTGGCATCATCTAAATATGAGGCGTATTGATTCAATAAACTTTCTTGAAATTTGAAAAAAAAAAAAAAAAAAAAAAAAAAAAAAAAAAAAAATTCAAGTGAGCCTGCAAACACTTGATGACACCAACTGGAAAGAAAAGACCAGCCAGAGAGATGAATGGAGGCAAGTGATATCTACAGCAATTAACCTCAAGGGCTCGGAATGCTGAAGAAGAAGAAGAAGACGTTCCAGTGAAGGATATGCCACTAAGAGGAGAGAGATATTTGAAATCTTTGTGATTCATGCCAACAACGCTCGACTGCTGGGAACAGTTGGAAGTCATACTAGACAGCCAGATGCAGGAGGCACGTGTGAGAAAAATAAAATTCAGGTCAAGGCAGCCATTAGAACCCATTGGAACACTTCCCGTCCTGGATAGAATCCTGAAAACTCAAGTCAACCTCTTGACACAAAAGAAACTAGAATCACAGGACTATTCCCGCATGTGTGTGCTGAGTAACTCTTTGAGCATGATCTGGCGGGTCGAGGCAAGCTGGTTACACAGACAGTGGCTTGAGTCACTGCAAAACTTTCCTGTGTGTGCAGTTACCTTCATATTCGTCCCAGGGTATGCAGGCGTTATTGATAAGGAAAAAGCTGATAGACTGGCAGGTGCTGCATTAATTGAAGATGGCTGGCCCATGGATCACGCATACATTGTCATTGCCCTTTGAGAGATAGGACGTTCTGAGAATTTTGGAAGCAACGTGTCCCCATCACTTATAAGAATATTAGAATTGGGAGCTAAGGTCGGCACATCCAAGCATGAGAAGCACACCGGACGCACACAAAGTCTTGTTAACCAACACAAGACTTGCACAATAAACGCGCGACGCCGATGAATATGTTGAGAGGAGAATCTGAGCACCTATGGATGTGTTCGCAGTGCTGATAAGATAATCTAACCCATAACACGAAAGAAACAGACCATTGTATTTAGACTGCGTGCTGCACACAACAGACTTTGCAGCCATAGACACAAGAAATTCAAGACTGCAGATTCAGAACTTTGCCCATGTGAACAGGCACCATAGAATACTGACTATATGCTACAGATATGCTCTTTACATGTGGACAGGCACCATAGAATACTGACTATATGCTACAGATATGCTCTTTACATGTGGACAGGCACCATAGAATACTGACTATATGCTACAGATATGCTCTCTATATGTGAAAAGGCACCATAGAATGCTGACTATATGCTACAGATATGCTCTCTATATGTGAACAGGCACCATAGAATACTGACTATATGCTACAGATATGCTCTCTATATGTGAACAGCCAACATAGAATACTGACTATATGCTACAGATATGCTCTCTATATGTGAACAGGCAACATAGAATACTGACTATATGCTACAGATATGCTCTCTATATGTGGACAGGCACCTTAGAATACTGACTATATGCTACAGATATGCTCTCTATATGTGAACAGGCAACATAGAATACTGACTATGTGCTACAGATATGCTCTCTATATGTGAACAGGCAACATAGAATACTGACTATATGCTACAGATATGCTCTCTATATGTGGACAGGCACCTTAGAATACTGACTATATGCTACAGATATGCTCTCTATATGTGAACAGGCACCTTAGAATACTGACTATATGCTACAGATATGCTCTCTACGTGTGGACAGGCACCGTAGAATACTGACTATATGCTACAGATATGCTCTCTTCATGTGAACAGGCACCATAGAATACTGACTATATGCTACAGATATGCTCTCTACGTGTGGACAGACACCATAGAATACTGAATATATGCTACAGATATGCTCTCTATATGTGGACAAGAACCATAGTATACTGACTATATGCTACAGATATGCTCTCTACATGTGGACAGGCACCATAGAATACTGACTATATGCTACAGATATGCTCTCTACGTGTGGACAGACACCATAGAATACTGACTATATGCTACAGATATGTTCTCTATATGTGGACAGGCACCATAGAATACTGACTATACGCTACAGATATGCTCTCTACATGTGGACAGGCACCATAGAATACTGACTATATGCTACAGATATGCTCTCTACATGTGGACAGGCACCATAGAATACTGACTATATGCTACAGATATGCTCTCTACATGTGGACAGGCACCATAGAATACTGACCATTTGCTACAGATAAACTCTCTACATGCAGTCTCAGGTTTGGCTGGTTGGCATTCCAAAGGAAACCAAGCTGTATGGAACAGTGGAACACATGCGTGCACCACAGTCTTCATTGAGGTCTGTGACCGTCTTATCTGGAACGCACTAGAAAGCTAAAAAAAAAAAAAAAAGGATACCAACCTTGATATAGAAAGCGTAAGAGCAAAGTAAAGAGGTAGACGAATAGCTAACCTCAATAGAGGGCATATGAACACAGGCCTTATCTAAGAATCTAGTGATGGTGTGGGCTAGCAAAAACAATCTCCCACTCCCATGGGCATGGCACATAAAGACAATAAATTTTATATTTACCAGAGATTTTCAGCACATTTCTTCTCGCTAGTAAGCTAGCATAGAAATATACAGTGCCGTCTCCACGATTGAGGTTTGCTCCAATTTATCCACTGCTAACTATGGGAGTGTCGGCATCTGTGGTTAAGGAGTTGCCAACGCTCTTCGTAATGTCAAGGTGCCGGGTTCGATCTCAACTGCGGGAAATGTGGCAACACACCGCCTTGTGTTTTTTTTTAAAGTGGGTTTAGGAGCTGAACGTTCAGTAGGCAATGGCAAACCATTGACCGTAATAACACCAACAGCCACAAGGAAAAAAATATACTGAAACGTCCTGAATAAAGGGAGGAAAATATTACGTGATGAGGGCGCCGAGGTCTCCCACGGTGCGATTCTCGCACCACTGTCTGAAAGCCACCAGAACTGCCTATTTCTAAACCGCCCACCACATGAACCGAACCATGGAAAACATTGAGAGTTGACCCTGGTATAGATCGAGAGTTGACCCTGGCAAATATCGAGTGTTGACCCTGGCAAGCATCGAGAGTTGACCCTGGAAAACATCGCGAGTAGACCCTGGCAAACATCGAGTGTTGACCCTGGCAAACATCGAGTGTTGACCCTGGTAAACATCGAGAGTTGACACTGGCAAACATCAAGAGTAGACCCTGGCAAACATCGAGAGTTGACCCTGGTAACATCGAGAGTTGACCCTGGCAAACATCGAGAGTTGACCCTGGCAAAAATCGAGAGTTGACCCTGGCAAACATCAAGATTTGACCCTGGCAGACATCGAGAGTTGACACTGGCAAACATCGAGAGTTGACCCTGGCAAACATCGAGAGTTGACCCTGGCAAACATCGAGAGCTGACCCTGGCAAAAATCGAGAGTTGACACTGGCAAACATCGAGAGTTGACCCTGACAAACATCGAGAGTTGACCCTGGCAAACATCGAGATTTGACCCTGGCAAACATCAAGATTTGACCCTGGCAAACATCAAGAGTAGACCCTGGCAAACATCGAGATTTGACCCTGGCAAACATCAAGAGTTGACCCTGGCAAATATCGAGAGTTGACCCTGGCAAACATCGAGAGTTGACCCTGGCAGACATCGAGAGTTTACCCAGGTAAACGATTTCACTTATCTCTAATATACAGACCGGTCGGCACTGGTTAGCAAAAGACTGTTTACTCCGACGAGCTGTCTATTTTATTGCGCTAAATATTCGTACGCGTCTGTGAAGTTTAGAGCGCACAAAAATGATGTGGTTTGACATTTGATGAATAATTTGCAGTGGTAAATTCTTACTGGCCGAATTCGGGGCACAAAACCAGACAACCATTAAATCCACGAACCCTGAGCTAAGTCTTCACGTGTGCATTCATCATCATTACCGCGTGCCTTGCCAGACGGCGCAGGGGTTCATGTCGCTGCGTAGGTTACGATCTTAGATATTATAAGTCAATTTATTATTATTATTGGTATTAATTACACACTTAAGTAAGCTCAAGGCGCTCCCCAACTCCGATAATTTCTTTGAGTCGGCGTTCTGAGGTAGGAGTGTTTTATTTCACTAGCTTTAAAAATTGGAATCGCTACGAAACAGAATGACACCCCGTAACTCGACGAGTAACTGTTCTGGATGCGAACCCAGCAGGAGCAAATAACAGAAACCCTCTTTGTTCCACTGAATGAAGCCGTTATACTGGGGCACCTAATGGCTACAGCGTAGCATATTGCCCTATGAGGTTCGGTTCACATTGCTCCTCATTGGCCATAGCAATGGCCGTGATTTAGAGCAACAATCTGCAAGGCCTTGCTAAATAAAGACCAATGTCTCGTGTTTCGACGCTACGGCACCACTGGCTTCATTTCTCGATGACTCGATAAGGGAAACATACTAGCAGTGAGATGGGTAATTCCCATGTCTTGAGAAAAGAATACATAGAAAATACTTTCAATATCCGATCTCACAGAAGTTGTAAATCCAGTCAAGAAAACTTTCCTCATGATAAAGTCTGCAGGGGACAACACTCCTGTTGATATCAAATAATCTCCCTTTGACCTACCCCTCAAAGAAGTAAAATAAATACGGACATGTCCTTTCAAGACCAGACTATTGGATGAAGGCCATAAATTCTAAATGAGGCTAATGGCTTTTGGCTACAATATTTCCCGAAAAGTGTGAACATACGAAATAAGGGAAAGAAGAAGACGTAGAAGAAGCGGCGAGTACATTCAGATATGAAGCTTCTGAGTTGTTCACACTGCGCTAATAAACATGGCCGACATATTAAAAGTGGTGTAGAGTATTGACATTGTCCAAGATTTCTGACTGCCGGGACTATATTGCTGAGACCGTTCAGAGAATAGTTTTATTACTTCCTTTTCTTTCTTTTTCGCGTTCCTCGGCTTTAAACTCCAGCGCAAAAGTTCTTGTTGTTCGTCCACTTCTTGACTCTAGTCCTGTTCCAGAAACTGAGTG